CAGAGCCATTCCCTGTTCACCTTGGGGTACAACTGGGGTGTCCTCTGGCACCGACATTATTTAACATCTTCTTTGACCACATAGCTGGAGAAGCTTTCCATGGCTGTACCGGAGGAATTCCATCTGGTACAGATAGATACAATGGGAGGCTGATCGATGCGGTCAATGGATGGCTCCCTATTGGTCAAACATGTACGCTGATGATGTGGTAATTGCTGCTCACTCTGAGAAGCATTAGGAGTCTCTACCGCTGAACGTGAAGTGTGTTGCTAATAGATGGGACATTGCCATCAGTCTCACACAAATACAAAGCGCCCGCCTGGGTCTGTTGTGCCATCGAACACTCCACCCTGTCAACTTTCCGTTAGTGATGGGGCATTTTGTCGACAGAGTGGAGGAGTTCCCTACCTGGGGCAGTGTGCTTATGACCAGCTCCGGTTGGTAATGGAAGTCAAGCGGCATTATCTTTTCATTGGCTGCGGTAACGCTGTGTGGAAGCTACCTTGGCATGTCGCTCCGTGCGAAGCTCCGGGTCTTCTTGGCCACAGTTTTAGCCTCTATCCCACGATGCTTGCAAAATGTCGACCCCCTTTTAAAGGTACACCCTCCTCTGCTGACTTGAAACATTCTGGCCGGCCTGCATAAAATCCATCCTGAGCGAGCGTGTCTGAGCGTGAGCTGTCCCTGCTCTACGCTGCGCTGCAATACACTCGCTACGAATCTTTTTTGGACGGATTGGACATTGAGCTTTAGACGAAGCCACGCAACCGCACTCCCTGGGTTCGATTCCCGTTTCAGGTGCCTTTCTGCGTGGATGTCGGTATGTTGTCTCCCCTTATTCCGCGTGGGGTTTTTTTTCCTCCAGGTTCTCCGGTTCCCCCCTCTCATGGTCAACAAAGAACTCCCCCCTCCTCTCCCTCCCTCCCGCCATACGATGTAACTGTTATTTATCCAGAACGTCCCAATGCTCAAAAGTGTACCTGCAAACAATTTCATTGGGATGACACACACGCACACAGCAGCAACGTTTGCCCCCTTCCCCTACTGCGAAAACATGGCAGGACCCTCTTCAATCCGAGCCTTGAGACTCGGCAAAGGCTTTCATAGGTAAACAAACGTGATAATGATGGTAACAATGTTCGTTGAACTTCTTTCGCACCGTACGTAGCCAACCGTGCTAATCGGAGGTGCCCGATTAGCCTCATCTGCTCACGATGAGCAGAAGGATAGGTCGGGGGGGGGGGGGGGGGGGGTGAGCAGAAGCGGACTCTGCGGTGGCTAGGAGATGTTGACTACCTCGCTTGGTATACAGGAGGTCGTGGGTTCGATCCCGACGCCTGCTGTGTATTTGGAGTTTGCGTGCCTCTCTCTCTCTTCATCATCATCACGGTGGCTAGGAGATGTTAACTACCTCGCCTGGTATACAGGAGGTCGTGGGTTCGATCCCGACCCCGACGCCTGCTGTGTATTTGGAGTTTGCGTGCCTCTCTCTCTCTTCATCATCATCACGGTGGCTAGGTGATGTTAACTACCTCGCCTGGTATACAGGAGGTCGTGGGTTCGATCCCGACCCCGACGCCTGCTGTGTATTTGGAGTTTGCGTGCCTCTCTCTATCTTCATCATCACGGTGGCTAGCAGATCTTGACTACCTCGCCTGGTATACAGAAGGTCGTGGGTTCGATCCCGACGCCTGCTGTGTATTTGGAGTTTGCGTGCCTCTCTCTCTCGACGTGGTCGCGTGGATTTTTACCTGGGTCCTCCGATTTCCCCCCCCCCCCTCTCCGCAATTATAATCAACGTCACGCGTTTATTTAAAGAGTATTTGGCTACCGCTAGAAATGTCCACGTGATGATGATGACGAGTCACTTCGTTGAGCTTTAATTTGTGATGGGCCAGGTCGCTTCTGAAAAAGAGCTGCTATAGAGCTCAGCGGGGGCCTTACCTGGTCAAATAAAATTGTAAAAAAAATAGTTCAGACGAGCTATGTGCCCACACTAAAGCCGACGGCGATGGTGCAATGAACGTCACGTTAATGACCGTGACGATTTGTCCATCTCTCCCGCTGTGTATAGTCGTCAGGTCGTGTTCTACGCTCGTCGCATTAAAGAGGGAAGTTGCTTCGGGGACAGCCCCTCGGGGTGGCCGCCGTGAATGTTACAGACACGGAAAGCAAAAACAGGCGATTGCGAGAGTCAAATGTGAATCGATGAACGCGCGGCTCGGATGAAAGGCGTCCCGTGAAGGGAAAATGACGCCTCTGAAAGTCTTTTGAAGGAACTCGGGTTGCATGAGGATGAGAGAGATGTCTAGAGACGGACCACAGAGAGAGAGAGGACAGAGAGTGGGAGAGCACGGAGAGAAAGAGAGAGGGCGAAGATAATACTCGTACGGACAGTGCGTCGTCCGTCTCACACTCTCTGGAATTCACTCAATATCGAATTGCGTTGTTGTGACTCGCAGATGTTGTGACTCGCAGATGGCAGAGAAGCGGCGGTCTCTGCGCTGTTTGTTTTTCCCGTTAAACGGAGGGGGGGGTTTTTTCCACACCGTTCTCCAAGTTAACTTAAAAAAGGTAACAATGTGAAAAGTCGATTTTTGTTTTTGGTCGCGTAACTTAGATGATGTTCTGCTCATTGTGCTGATTTTGAGTCAAGGGCCCGACACATATATAGGCAATGCGTCGAACAAGCCAATCAAAACATATTGCAGTGCATCAACAGCGATGTTTAAAGGGATCGCATTAACGTGCCTCGCCCTGCTGATGAGACCGGGGAAGGTCAAAAACCGGTATAGGCCTGGGCAGGTTCCTGATTAAATTCTGTTGGAAAGCATTGGTCTTGGGGAACGTCCATTTCGGTCACGGCCATGGCTTTGCCCCCCCCTCTCCACTCCCCACCTTCACTCAAACACGTGCTGGACAAGCGTGGTGAAGTATGGTCAAACAACCTCCCCAGCGACCCGCACGGCGTGGGGGTGGTGGAGGCCCCGTAATAGGTCAGTCGGGCTCTTGAACGTCTCGTTTTAGTTGGGGAATTTTGAGATAATTCGAACAGAAAAATGCGAACAAATGTCAGCCGTAGATTCCTTTAAACGCCTGACTTATTTTGTAAACTCGCAAAGCAACGTGATCACAACGTTTGTCACCTCTGCGCATCTGGCAGATCACCAGCGAGCCTGACTCTGCTGATGAGACATTGAATATCGAAGCCGGTTCAGCGTTTATTTTGCTTATGGGATGGGTAAAAAGGAGAACGTGAATTCCTGCCTAGTTATTTAATTTCTGATTACTATAGCGGCCTCTAGCGGCTGCTGGGGGTATCGTGGTTGGAGCGCTGCGCTACGAACCTGACCACCCGAGTTCGATTCCCGCTCACGGCCAACGCCAGCGACAATTATCCGAGCCGGTCTTGGGCCTCCCCTAGGTCGACTCAGCCTTACGTGAGTGTGTGTCAAACATCGCCACTGGGGAGACAAAGGCGGTCGGGCGTGGTGCTGGCCACCCAAACCCCTCGTGTGCCTTCATAGGTGCTCGCTAACAGCGCCCCCAACAGTCTGTTAAGGCTATACAGGGAATCTTTGCCTTATTTTGCCATTACCATTAACAATACCGTGCCGTACTACTGGAATCTAAACGAGGAACTGATTCGTATAAACATCGATTCGACAACGGGTATCTCGTAGGCTTAAGAAGTGATGACAATCGACGACCATCGATCCGTTTCGATTTTTGAATGGGCGTGTTGGCGTTGGCTTTGTTCATGCGCCTCTATTAGAGCCCTCTACGGTAATTCAACACGTGCGCTCCTGTGCACCGCCCGCTCTATTCGAGACATTACGGCCCACGCGGTCGGTATTTAAATTACGTAACCAGCTTTACGGATCGTCCGGATTATAAGACGCAACCCCCTCGAAACGCAGGTGATCCCCGGGTGTTCATGAAGTTAACTCGCATAGGCAGTGGACCTACCACCCCCCCCCCCAGCAACCACGCCCGACCGCCTTTGTCTCCCCAGTGGCGATGTATTTTACACACCGCACCAGGTACTCATTTGAGGCTGAGTCGAGCTAGTGGGATGCCCAGGACCGGTTCGGATAATCGTCACCGGCGGTGTTGGCCGTGAGCGGGAATCAAACTCGGGTCGCCGGGTTCGTAGCGCGGCGCGCTAACCGCTCCACCACCGCTCCCGACAAACACAAAGATCCCCCGTATAGCCTTAACAGGCTCTTGGGGCAAGGGCTGTTAGCGAGTAGCACCCTATGAAGACCAGGGGCAACACACGCAAACACACCAATACCAACAGCCGCCATTCGCCACTAAGTGACGGTGACGTCACCACGGCGCCTGTGCCAGGCTAGGTGCACTTGGAGGCTACCACGTGAAGTGTCGAAGGCTCGCTGCTGATCGGAGTTCTCGGGACAGACTCAGCAGGTGCCATGGGGTTGGCCGACTGAGACGACCGGTAGATGCACCACCAGCTGTTACCCCCCCCCCTCTACTGTGCCAACTTGCCGAATTGTATCCGCCCGGCGCTCCGCTAGTTGTTGTGAGCGTCGCTCCTCTTTGCCCCTCTGTTATTGCTGGAGGGGAGTCTGCCTCCCAACTGCCCAGCAGCAGTAGCAGCAAGTACCAGCAGCAATCAGCAGCAGCAGCTGCAGCAGCGTCCTTCACGAGCCTCCTCCACAGAAGGACGATCTTGCCCACCGCTCACGGACGCACAGAGAGGCACAACCCAAAGACAACCACAGGCGGGCACAGCCACACAGACAAAGATCCACCTGCCCCCCCCCCCCCCCCCACCAGGCATATCGCCTCATTAAACTCGACTTTTGGGGGGGCAAGCGCTGTTCGCGATGGCTGTGTCGCTTGGCCCCCCGTACGGCCACCGGATTCTAAGACGCTACCTCTACGAACCCTGGCGGGGACTTAACAAGTTGTGGATCTCATTGTAATCCGGCGGTCCTGGTGGTGGTGGTGTTGTTGTTGTTGTCGATTTGCAGGCTCGCGAGAGGTTTGGCGACTGCGTTTGGAGGGAGGTCCTCATCCAGCGGTGGATCGATCAAGGCCGACGGACGAATCGCCCCGGGTGAGATCTCCCACGGTAGCCGTGCAGACACCACGGCCGGCCGACACCAGGGCCGGCCGGCACCACGCCACGGCCGACACCAGGGGCCGGCCATCCTTTGCCTCCCCGGCGCCGCTGTTTTCTAGACGCCGCGCTGCGTGGTCGTTTTAAAGGCCGAGTCGACCTAGGTGAAGGCCGAGGACCGGTTCAGATCATCGCCACCGGTGGAGGTTGGTGGCCGTGGGCGCGAATGGAACTCGGCTGGCCGGAATCGTGGCGCAGCGTAGCGCTGACCGCGACGCTACCTCTCCCTGCTCATGCACACACGCAGACAAACACACAGACACACAGACAGACACGCAGACAGACAACACACACAGACACACACCACACACACACAGACACACAACAACAACAACCGCCATTCGCCACTAAGTGGCGGTGACATCACCACGACGCTTGTGCCAGGCCATGTGCACCTTGAGGCCACGTGAAGTGTCAAACGCCCGCTGGCAGGAGGTCACGGGGCAGACCCAAGTGCCATGGGTCGACTGACTCAGATGACTGAGATGACTGGCTGATGCACCACCTGTGCCCCCTACTGTGCAACCTGCTGTGCTTTAGCCACCTGGCGCTCCGCTCGTTGTTGTGAGTGTCGCTTCTCCGCCCTCCGTTGTTGTTGGAGGGCGACTGCCTCCAACTGCCCAATAGCGTCCTTCACGAGCCTCCTCCACAGAGGCCGATCTTGACACCGCTGGTACCAGTCATCGGCAAGTCCACTCAGCTCCACGTCCTCCTGTACCACATCACTCCATCTCTTCTCTAGCCCGTGCCGCACCCGTTTAGTCCCCTCGATCCGGCAGAACAAAAGCTGTTTCGGCATGCGGTGGCTGGGCATGCGGGCTACATGACCCAGCCAACGCAGCCTTGCCTGCCGGAGGAGCTCACCGATGGGACCTTGCCCAGATCTTTCAAAGATTTGTGAGCTCCTCACACAATCCAGCCTGGTTAAACCCAGGATGGATCGTAGGCAGGCCAGCCTAAATGTTTCTAACCGGCGAAGATGTTCCAATAGGGGGGTCCACGTTTCGCAAGCGTAGAGAAGGGAGGGAATGACCGTGGCCGAGAAGACCTGAAGCTTAGTGCGGAGCGACAGACCAGGTAGCTTCCACACAGCATTACGCAACCGATGAAAAGATATTGCCGCTCGACTGATTCGGAGTGAGACCTCTGCTGTTAAACTGGAGCCAGTCATAAGCACACTGCTCAGGTATGGGAAACTCCCCACTCTCTCCATAACTGCCCCATCACCGATTGGGAGTTGTGGGGGTGGAGTGTCCGATGGTACAAAATACCCAGGCAGGTGCTTAGTTTTGGTGGGGCTGATGGTAAGGCCATATCTCTTAGTGGCACGCTCCAGTCTCAGCAGCAGCGTCTCCAACTCCTCCTCTGAATGAGCAGCTATTACCAAATCATCAGCATACTTAATGTGGTTGGGCAATAGGGAGCCATCCCTTGACCGCACCCGGGCATCGATCAGCCTCCCATTATATCTGTAGCAAATGGAGATTCCCCCGGTACAGCTATTGAAGGCTTCACGAACTACGTGGTCAAAATAGATGTTAAATAATGTGGGAGCCAGAGGACATCCCTGTCGCTCCCCAAGGTGTACAGGGAATGGCTCTGACTCCCGGCCACATAGTTTTACCCGGGCCCGCTCACCATCATGAAGGTCCTTAATGATCGTGAGCAGAGGGTCAGGGACTCCAAAAGCACGAAGAACAACCCAGAGCCCAGGCCTACTGATGGTATCATAGGCCTTGACCAGGTCAATAAAGCAGAGATGTAGGTCTTGTTGGAATTCCCTATACCTCTGCTGTAGCAGACGGACAGAAAATATGGCATCTGTGCAGGACCGACCTTTCCTGAAACCGCATTGGGGCTCCGCAAGCCTCTCCTCAGCGTGCCTGGCAAGGCGATGTTGAATAATCCTTTCCAGGACCTTTCCCGTTAAACTGAGGAGTGAGATGCCCATGTAGTTGTTACAGTCTGTGCAGTCCCCATTCTTAAAGAGGGGGACCACCAGGGCATCCTTCCAATCCTGCGGAACCCGTCCAGTGATCCACTGTTGTTATGATGTCATATAGGGCAGTCTGTGGACAAACGCCACCCTCCCTCAGCATTTCGCTTGGGAGATCATCTCTGCCCGCTGCCTTTCCTGGTCTCAGACTCCAGATCGCCTTCAGTACTTCCTCAACAGATGGCACCTCAGCCAGCCACTCACAGGGGGTGACTTCTTCCAATATTTGAGGCACTGCAGCCTCAGCAGGGTCATCCCCACTTTGTGCCATGATGTTTTCCTGGCTGAGGGATTTCCCCTCCCCCAGGACCTCACAGAAATGCTCAGCAAATCTGCAAACCTGTTCCTGGGGGTCAGAGATTGGATCACCGTTTTTTCCCCTAATGATGGTAATAGGTGTGGTGCTGCAGGTTACTTTTTTGATGGAGTTAAATAGAGATTTGTGATCGCGGGCCACTGAGGCAGACTCCATCTCCTCAGCAACCCGCTACCACCAGCCATCCTTGCAGCGCCTCACGGCTCTCTGAACCTCCGAGCGCAGGCTGCGGTAAGCTTAATTCTCTGAAGTGGGATTCTGTAGCCGATGACAGTGGGCCTGTCGCTTTTTCTCAACCATCCTGAACACCTCCTCTGTCAGCCAGGGTCTCTAGGGAGGTCTGGACTGTGTACCCAAAGCAGCCATTGCAGCTGCATGAGTCACAGTCCTAAACCTCGCCCATTTACCCTCGACATCAGGAGGAGTGGGGGACGATGCCAACCCCAGCCGCAAGCGATGATGAAATTCTCGCTTGCAACTTTCATCAGATAACTGAGACCAGGCCACTTTAGGTTGGAATGGGGTCCTGGGTGTACACCCACCATCGGAGTGGAAGAATGGCAGGCGCATCTTACAGATGACTAGTCGATGGTCAGAGGGCAGATCAGTTCCACGGTAGGTCCTGGTGTCAAGGACATGGGCTCGCATCCGGTGGTCCGTCACTATGTAGTCCAGCAGATATTCTTGCTTGGACCCGGCATGCATCCATGATGTTGTGTGGATGCGCCGATGCCGGAACAGCGTGTTGGTAATTACAAGCCCATGGGCTGCACAAAAATCTAGCAGCCTCCTACCGTTGTTATTGAGCTGATCTGGCCCATGCCCTCCAATCACTCCAGACCAGGTGCCAGCATCATGACCAACTCGGGCATTGAAGTCACCCAACAAGATGACTCTATCCCGGGGGGCCACTTTAGCCAGCACCTGTGACAGGTCATAGAAGGCATCTGACTCATCGGCTTTGCCTGCATCCCTCCACGGATGTTCGTCTTCGGTGGGGGCATAATAAGTAATCACGACCACTACTCCTCACCTTCGGTTGATGGGAAGGCAAGCCCAAAGTAGCCTTGGGCTTACAGCTTCCCACACCTCACCGCCACGCTCCCACGTCCCCTTCATTCTTTTGTTCAAAAGAAGAGCCACACCCTGTTGTTTGGCAGTCTGCTGCCCCGAGTAGAGGACTGTCCACCCCTCATGGTGGTAGGAGCAAGAACCGGTCCACCGGACCTCCTGAATGCCACAGAGATCCAGGCGGTACTGGTCCAGCTCCCGACAGAGGAGTGGCAGCCTCTCCTTTGCGGTGAGCATTTGAACATTCCACGTGGCCACACGAAAGTGGCTTTTCGTTGTTTTTGGAGGAGCCCCGAGGGTTGAGATTAAATCTCCTGGCTCCGCCAATTGGGGTTTGGCCAGGAGACGTCATAGACGCCTGTTCCCCCGGGGCCTCCGGCACAAGCTTATTAGTTACATATTTCACTCGTGGTTTAGTGGTATATTTTTGAAGGTAGAGAGGTTACCAGCCCCTCGCACCCAACCAGAGCCCCTGTTTAGCCACTGTGGTGGTCACAGACGCCATGAGGGGAGGAGGCAATCGGAATTGGCCCTCCCCCCACAGCACTGTCCACGACAGAGTTGCCCATCCGGCACCGCGAGGAGGTAGGTGATTGTTTTGCCAGACCAGACACACCCACACATACAAAAACACACCACGCAGACACACACCACACACACAGACACACACCATACACACAGACATGCACCACACACACAGACAGAAACCAAATACACCACACACAGACACACACCAGACATGCACCACACATGCACCACACACACAGACACATACCACATACACCACACACAGACACACACCACACACACAGACACACACCACACAGACACACACCACACACACAGACACACACCACACACACAGACACACACCACACAGACACACACCACACACACAGACACACACCACACACAGACACACCACACACACAGACACACATCGCACACACAGGCACACACCACACACACACAGACACACACCACACATACAGACACGCACCATACCGACACACACCACAGACACACACCACACACACACACACCACACACAGCCATGCACCACACACACAGACACACACCACACACAGACATACACCACACAGACACAAACCACACACACAGACACACCACACACATACAGACACACACCACACACATACAGACACACACCACACAGACACACACCACACACAGAGACACACACCACACACACAGACACACACCACATACACACCACACACACAGACACACACCACACACACACACCACACACAGACACACAGACACACACCACACACACAGACACACACTCCACACAGACACACCACACACACACCACACGCACAGACACACCACACACACACCACACGCACAGACACACCACACACACAGACACACACCACAGACACACACACACCACACACACACCACACGCACAGATACACACACAGACACACACCACACAAACCACACGCACAGATACACACCACACACACAGACACACACCACACACACAGACACACACAGACACGCACAGACACACACACACCACAC